TAAACTAAGGTCCAAGAACAACATGCCAGTCCCCACAGAGCAAGGCCAAAAGCAGCCGCTCTTTTACCCCCTGCTGCAGACACATCCCATCAGTCCTGGCACTGCAAGAGTGATGCAGAGTGATGGCTGACGGCAGCCGCTGTGGGGGAGGCCAGGGCCGGGGAGCCCGACAAACCCAGGTACCCTTCCAGAGAACAAGGAGCTGACTTACCATTTATTCACGAAATCCTGAAATTCCAGGCTGAACACTCCACTGGGCAGCTTTGGAGGAGGCTGCAGACACATGTGGAGACATGAGACATGCCTGGCTTCCTGCTCCAGCCACCTCCTCCCCCCATCCCACTGCCCTGCAGGCAGCGCTGCCCTAATCCGGACCAGGAAAGGCAGGGTGGGAGCCAGCGGCTGCCTGCTGGGTCTCACAAAGCACAGCTAGAACCGGAACCCAGGCAAGCGCTCCACCTCGCCTCACCGGGTGACTCGCCAGTCACGGCTACAGGCTACACTCCCATCCTCAGTACACCTCTCTGCTCTGCAGAGCTTGGCTCGATTCGGAGCCCTCTCGGGCTCTCACACGCCAATGTAAATCTTGGCATGTGGCGTGGAAGTGAAACCAACAGTTAACCATTAGCCACGGCCAGGGGGACGTGCAAACCAGCCCTAACACCGGCCTGACAGCACCAGCAGGCCAAAAAGTCCCTTTCCTAGCCCTGGAGAGGCAGAGAAAGGTTAACACAACATTAACTGGCAGAGGCTGGGTCGGGAAGAACGGCATTGTATACCACACTCCAGGAATGAGACTCAGGCCTCAGACAAAGAACTCTGGGACAGCTCTGGTCTCCCTCTAGCAATCGCAAGGGCTGTGCTGCATAGGGCCCAGGCAGTGCCAGGAGATGGGAGCCCACTGTGTGACCAGTGCCAGGGGCCGTGTGCAGCTTCCCTGTGAGAGGCTGACCCCTAGACACAGTGTCCAGGATGTTGCTGCACTGCCCACAAGTGATCGAGATGAAACGCTGACACCTGCCACCAGAAAGCCAGCCCAGCCCTCTTCCCCTTAGGGCCTGACCAGGCCGGTCTCAGGTCAAGGACTAGGACTCGGCTCTCGGAACAGCAGCAGAGCCAGCCCACCCTGCACCATCCCTGCTGCGGAGGGGGATGAAGGAAAGATCAAGGGGAGAGGAGAGCAGCGGCGTGGCCTGTGGGGCAGCACGAGTCCGGAGTGGAAGGAGCCAGGCCTCCTGGGCTTCAGGGCCGAGGGGCTGGGGAAGCAGCAGGAGAGAAAGCACTGAGTGGGATGGACCTGAGCTACTTCCCGTCTTGGAGCCTCCGTTTCCTCACTTGCATGAAGAGGGTGCAAAACCCTCTGCCCCCCCCCCCCCAGTCCCCCCCCCCCCCCCAGCAGTGCTAAGGAGAACCAGCAGAACAGTGTGTGAACACGGCAGAGCACACTCGGAGACCGGTGCTGTGTTCAGCCAGGCTCCCCTTCCCTTCCCTTCACACCACAGCTCGGGTCCCCGCAGTCAAGGACAGTGGCTTTCCCGGCTGCTGCGGATGCCGTGCTGTGACTTCCCTAAATCCTTACACAGCAAGGACTAGATCCTGAACCTTCTGTACCCCCTGGTACTTAACACAGGGGGGTTGGGAGGCCTTCAAAAAGCTCATGGGAAAAACTATGTGTGGATTTCAAACTTTGCACCATCCATACTTTCATTCTGTTTCCCACGAACCTTGTGAAGTTCCCTCACATAAAGCTGTGCGGTCAGTTCAGTACGGAGCTAAACGCAGCTCCTAGTAGGCTGTGAACCAGTGACCTGTTAACTTCAGGGGCATTACCAGGGTTTCCCCTATTGAGCTCGTAATGAGACAGGGGACTTACTGGAGCCTTGGGAGTGGAGTTCGAGAGAACAGTGAGAAGATGTAAGGAATTACTCCACTGCCCTCTTGAAGACAGTGCAGTGACACCCACGTCTTACACCCCTGCCATGTGGGGGCAGCCTTCAGCTGCCTCCTCGCAGCCAGAACTTGGCCCTTCTCTTCAAGTGCCAAGACTGCCCCTGTAACCTGGCATGCTGGCCTTGTCAGCCCTTCCTAAAGGCCCGTCCTTGCCCCAAGCCCGGCTCTCCAGCCCTGGTTGACCCTCAGTGGTGCTCGTCTGCAGCTCCCCAGCCAGTGCAGTCAGGAATG